TTTTATTTTAATTTTTATTAGTACATGTTTGCTGTACCTAAGATCACATTCATCGTGTGGAGTTGGTGCACACCATCTTAAATTTTTTATATCCCCTTCATCTTCCCTCCTTCCCCCTCCCTCCACAAGGACCAAACTGCGGTGTTTATAAAAGAACCTGGGAACCTCAGGACCTGACAAGGCCTGGGCCTCTGTCTGACTGTACGTTTTTCCTTGGGCATTTCTGCACGCTTGTTGTGCAAGTCTGTCATCCTTTGGGAGGATGCAGGGTGGCCTATGATGGGGTCTCTTGTGTGTTATCACCTAAAGGGCCTGGGTGGCAGACCCCATGCCAGTTCATGTGAGGCTGGACCACTATGCTCTCTCTACCTGCTGCTTCCTCATCCTTGGTCTATAGCAGGGAGGAAAAAAGAATCTTCTGGATTGAATTCAAGCTAAAATTGTATCTCCTGTTGGTTAAAATACTGATCCAAATTGCTTCCTATGAAGAACATTCAATATTCCTCTCTCAACTTTGTCAGCTTGGGTTGGGGGTGGGTAGGGGAGACAGACAGAGACAGACAGACTGACTCTTGTTAACCACTCCTACTAGATTCCATGTATTAGATTTTATCCTTCTCCGTTGACTAGAACAGCTTCCAAACTGAGTTTCAATGACTGATGAATGGAATGAAAATTGTGTTGAGTGGTGAATGTCATTATCATGAGCATTCGTTCATCAGTATCACAAATGTCACTATAAAAGCCATTATGAAGAACATAATTTTCACTCAGTGTTAGGTCCACTTTCTGTTGCTGTGACAAAATACCTAAGATGAACAATTTAAAAGGAAAGGTTTGTTTGGCTTGTGCCTTCAGAGGTGTTAGTCCATGGTCCCTTGGGCCAGTCATCCTGGGGCTATGCCAGGGCAGAACATCATGGAGTGGAAAGTATGGTAGCCAGGAAGCAGAAACAGAGAGGAAGCGGCCAGGGTCTCAAGTATTTCCTTCAAGGGAATGCTCCCAGTGACCTAATTTCTTTCCACCAGATCTACTCCCTAAAGATAATACCATCTCCCAATAGCATCATAAGCTGGGCAACAAGCCTTTGACACATTCAAGATCCAAAATGTGTCACATAAAGGTGTAAAGACTGACAGTAAGACACTACATTTTAGGTTAAGAGAAGTTTTATGTAAATGAAAAGTTTTTGAACAAGATATAGGCAACAAAAGAACATGAATTATATTTTTGGGTAAAATTTACACAGATAGCAGCATAACACAAATTTGGTGGTCATTTGAATTCAAATGATCTAATTTTGAGTGTAATGATATAACAATGTATTTAGCTTGTGCCTTAGTTATTTTTCTTGTCGTTAAGACCAAATACCTGACACCCAGGGTTAAAGGAGGAAAGTTTTATTTGGTTCACAGTTGTAGAGGTCTCAGTCCATAATCAGCTGGCTCCAGAGCAGGGTGCCTTGGCAGAGGGCATCACAGAGAAGAGTTTATGGTGGGCAGACTGTAGAAAAGCAATGAGAGAGAGAGAGAGAGAGAGAGAGAGAGAGAGAGAGAGAGAGAGAGAGAGAGACTGATTCATCTGTCTGTCCCTTATATTGTACGCAGGCTACTCGCCCTAGGGCAGGTGTAGCAGTCAAACCCTTAATCCCAGCATTAGAACATGGATCAATCATGAACCCTAGATTCAGCCATCTCTAAAAGCCCACCCCCCCTAACTGCATGAGGCTTTGGGGGGACATCTAGACACAAATCCCTGCTATAGGCAACAATTTGCAGTGTCCTGGGTGCAATCCTAAAGGGCAGGAATTAAAATTGTGAAAGGAGGCCTTTCTTTAGAATGTCTGTTTGATGTCCCTAACTAAGATTTTATATGTGAGAACATCCTCATTAAAGGAGATCATATTAATTGCATATGTATTGTGCATTTGTAAATTGGGATTTACTGGAAAAAGACCTCTGGATCTTTGACTGTGTTTTGCTTTTCAGGAAGAGACTCCCTGAGTGTGAATGGAGGTGGGAATAGGGTGCGGGCACTGTCTGCACACCGTGCTTCTCACAGTCCACACAGCAGCCCTAGGAGTCTCCTACAGCACCGCCTCACAAGAAGGCTTTGCTGTGGTGTCAGGAGAACTGATTTCTACCTACACATGAAGGAAGACAGGGAGGGAATTCTGATAATAAGCACACATAGCACCTTGAATTTCAATCAATGCAGTGGCAAGTTTTAGTCATAATTTGGTGATTAGTTCTGGCATTATTTTACATTATTTTCAATTACTTATCTTAGTGCTATAATGTAGAGTTGGGAATAAATTTGCAATTGGTATCATGTTGTAAAACCAAGGATATGCATATCCCATGATCTACCAATCCTAGTTCTAAATATTTACCCTAGAGAAACATTTCCTCACATACACCAGGAGATGTGCATGCATGTTTCCTGCAACGTCGTTTGTAAATGATGATGCAAAATACTGGGAACAACTGAAATGTATCTCTAAGGGCAGCTATGAAGGAACTGTGCTCTATGTGTGTTGTGAAATGTACATTGTGGAACGGGGTTAGGACTAAAATACCTGAACCTTTATGTGTGGACAAAGAAAAAGAAAGTTTTACTAGTCATATAGACTTTGATGCCTGTTTTTGTAAATGGAGAAACACTTAACATTTTATATATTTATATTATGTTTACCTGCGTATTTTATATGTGTACATGTTAACTTCATTTACATGCATATATATGTGTTCCTGAAAAGAGTATCAAACTCTAAGTGCTGTTTCATCAGTGGAGGTGAAGCAGAGATAACCTTAACATGGTGCTTAAAGAGATCTGTGCTGCATCTGCAGTGTATAAATAAAAGCAAAAACGTGTAGTTATAAGTAGAGGCAACTATGCCAATATATAAGCTGTAGTTAATTTTGGGTGTAGACAATAGCATTATTATTTTCTCATTTTTACTTTTCTGGATTTTTCAAAGAAGGAAAATGGTTCATCCTTTTGTGTTTGCTGTCCTTGTATTGTTGGAATGTCACTTTCAGGGAATTATTAGGAATTATGGTTTAATCTAAGAGGGAAGCCTTTTCTGTATCTATTAATTTAAAGCTTCTATTTTTAAAGTAAACCAGTGGTTCTACAGTATGTGGGTCTGTGTAACTATGTCATATATGCTCATAGGGAGGATCTCATACAACTTGAAAAACTGCATTTAAAATTATAAGTTACATAGAAATATTGAATATATATTATATTGAATCCAGGACTTCCACACTGAGTTACATCTCCAGCCTTTACATTTTTTTTTTTTGAGATAAGGTTTCACTGGATCGTTAAGTTGTCTAAGCTGCACATGAACTTGCAATCTTCAGTATTTCTGAATTGCTAGAATTACAGATGTGCACCATCACGCCTGGCAGACCAAGCTTTTGTGGTGGTAAAAATTTTATTTTGGAACATTAACTTAATAGAATTAAAAACAGTTTTCTGCTATTGTAGAGTGAGAGTGTTTTTTTATTTTAGTTTTCAACTAAGACCCTAGTGGTCTATAAAATGTCCTTGATGGGTTCCCCTTGGATTTCAAATTTTAAACAAATATTTCGTTTCTCTTCTGTGTTCCCCTGTTAACAATAGACATTCAGCTCAAATTAACTAATCACAGTGAGAATTAATAGCCTTATGTATCTGAAAAATTGAGGGGTAAATTTGGTCTCAAAGTACACCTAGTTGCATGGCTCTGTCACTTTTCCTAACATTCTGTCCCCCTTGGTCTTATTTTCGGACTGACTCTTTCTAGTCCAGGGAAGGGAGATATGAGACCCATAGATGATTATTTTCGTGAGAGATCAGAATCACAAAGACCTTAACTGTCTCACTGGGCAACCATAACACTCATGAGCATCACCAGCTGGTCCTACTTGGGTCATATGTTCCACATAAAGAGGCAGCTTCAGGGAGAAGCTGCCCTCAACTGACCTCCAGAGGTCCCTGTCTGGGCAACACTAGGCGCACCATTGATATCTCCACCTTACTCAGGTGCGTGCTGCAGTGGATTTCCCGCTGATGGGAGGGTTCATGCCTACTGATGCTGAGTCTACTGTATGAGCACAGCATTTATTAGTTCCTGGACTGTACCCTGCATACCATATACCATTGTAGTCATTTGCTAGTCAGCCCTTACTGAGCTATCCATACACGACACAGGGACCATATCCTGCTCACCTTTGTATTTCTATTACTTAACCCAAAATGTGACACGAGGCTAGCACTCAAAAGTTTGCAAGCTAAGTAAAGTAAAACTATTAATTGCTGAAAGAGAATGTCAGTGTGAAGAAACATCTCTCAAATTACAGTCATGCACCACTTTATGATAGGGGCACATTCTGAGAAATGCTACTAGGTGATGTTGTCCTTATGTGACCATCACAGAGGTCTGCTTAATGTAGGAGCCTTCATATCACTAGCTGATATAGTGTATGGAACCATTGTTGTATGTTGTTCAGCATTCATCAAAATATCATTTAGGGCTGTGTGACTGTAACTTTTTTTTAAACTTGTTTTAATACTTCTTAGAAGGCCATTGTATTACTAGGCTATGAAAAAATTAATAACCTTGTCTGAATTAAATGAGTTTCATTGAGCTGATATACATTTTCTAATACATTTGGCAAACCATATTTAGTTGGCACATTGCCATATACAGTATTTGTTTTGATGTCAGAAAAATACAGCCTAAAGTAAATAATATTTAGAACTTTGATGACTTCTCTGGCTACATTTCTCTGGCATCTTTGGATTAGCACAGGGCACCAGATAGGAACAATCTGCAATAAGCAATGTACCTGCCTAATGATTAGGATGTGATACGCACTAATTCTGTTAAATTGTGTTTAGTCATTTAGTGCTATATGTTTGGCTACAAAAGAAGAATTAGGTTGTAAGTCTCTGGAAATAATGACAGAAAGGAAAACAACATATTTTTCTTCCCCTTTTTATGTTCTCAGGGACTTGAGGTTTAACAGAATAAGAGAAATTCCAGAGAGTGCCTTCAAGAAACTGGAGAATCTGAACACTCTGTGAGTATTTATTGCTAATCTGTGGGGTTTTTGAAATTATGAACTAGATTTTTTTGCAGTTTGCCATGAGGGTCATTTTCAGAGTGTTGAATAGCCAACAAAAGAATGAAACTTTGTCACAGGTCTTGTAACTAGCAAAATTCTCTACCTTCTCTCCATTGCCATTATTTTTCCTACCTTCCAAATTTGGGGGATATTCCTATTTATCTGTCATTTATGTTCTGTTTACTTAGAAAAGCCTCCCAGGGCCAGGGATATAGCTCAGTGGCACAGTGCCTGCCTGGCAAGCATGAGGCTGTGAGTTCAATTCTTGGAACCAAGAAAGAATAGAAAAGATAAGAAAAGGAAAGGAGAAGCCTCCCAACATTGAAGAAACTGGGGGGGGGGAAAGTGGAAAAATGGTTAAACAGTTTAAATGTTTAAACATAGGCCCATAGCACGAAAACAACAAAAATGGAATTAAAACTTGTAACTTCCTGACTCCCACACACAGGATTTCTCTTCTTATTTAAGATATTACAGAACATTCATGAAAACATGCAGATGAAAAAGGACAACTTCATGGCTAAGCAGTGATAAAAATTGTCAGTGTTTGGAGCATTTATTTCATTCACTCAACAGATACCATTTTTTCGTTGTGTTCTTAGCACTTTGTTATCTGTGGATCCAGACCCAAGTACATGTGACCCATCTGTGATGTAACTGATAAGCTCACCCTTTGGGGAAATCAATAATTAAAGACCAACTGTAATATATGGATAATTAAGAAGTATAGTAAGTGCTAGAAAGAAAAAGAGGAGCGTTGAGAGATGACAAGAGGCTTAAACATCTTAAGAGTGCACACTGTTTCATTTTGGTTTTTTTCCGGTACTGGCACTCGAACTCATGACCTTGCACTTGCCATGCAGGCACTGTGCCGCTGAACTAAATCCCCAGCCCCAAGTGCACACTGTTTGAAATCATTTTATGTTGCACTTAGATTAACGCACAGAGTGAACGCACTGAGAGTTTGGACTCTCTGATGTGGTTAGACCACATGAGTGTACTTCTCTGCCTGTCACAATATTTTTGTAGTACAGTACACAGTTGTATCAACGTGACTCACTTCTTACCATCTCTTGGTTCCTCCTAGCTTTATTGTTGAGATCAGGACTTTACCATTGTACTCTTTCCCATCTGTCTTCTTCCAGTAACTGATGCCTGGATGCACACGTTATTATAATATTTCCAATTACGATGATGTGGGCATTCCAAGAAAGTAAGGACTGCAGGATTTATTTTTTGTTTTCAATGAAAGCAGTTACTCAAGGTACCATGAGCAAAAAACTTTCCTGGGATGCTTGTGGACCCCAGAGACCGATTTAGATCTCTCAGGAGGGCTCAAAGATTGGCATTTTAATGAGTATCTCTTGGGGATGGGTGTCTGATTCTTGGGGTGCACCATTATTAATGTCTTCTCTCATTCTCTACTGAAACATATAGATGATAGATCACCAAATATCTTGTTTATCAAATTAATATCAAATGTTATAAAATGTTATCAAATCTTTTTATTAGAGATATTTACCACTAAAATGTTTTTGGAGAATTACGATAAACTGTTGACTTCTGTTGAGATTGAGCCACTTTTTTGAATTACAGTAGACAATTCATTAATAGCTAATGAATAATTCAGTTGTTCTGTAGAAATTATGCTTATTATTAATTTGCATCTAGATAGTTTTATTATAAAATCATAAATAATAATTATGCCTCATGCTTCATTCTGTAGTAGCTGCTTTATGTACATAGTCTCCATTTCATGCTGTTATTCCTGTGGAAGATGTCAGCACTTCTATTTTACTGATGAGAACTTTGAGCCTCATTTGTCCAAGTTCATACAACCAAGGGTCGCAGTAGGCTCCACTGATAGTTTGATCTGTGTACCTCTGGGCTATATCACTTCTTTTGTGAATTTCCCTGGAATAACCTATGGTAGGTCATCTAAATAGTAATGTATGATTGTAAATGTACGTGTGTATGTGTAAATGTGCATGTGTGTGAATATGTGTGAATGTGTGTATGTGCAAATGCATGTGTATATGAGTAGTGTGAATGTGTGTGAGTGTAAGTGTGAATGTATGTGTGTTTGGGAGTGTGTATGAGTGTGTGAATATTGTAAATGCAAGTGTGTGAGTGTATGTGTGTGAGTGTGTGTGAATGCGTGTGTGGTGAGAGAGTTTTCTGTTCATAAAATAACTAACAAATGAAAACTATTGAGGTAGTGGAGAACATGTGTTAGATCATGTAAAAGAAGACTCAACAGTCTTTACTAATTATTTTGTAAAGACAAAAGGATATTTGGATAAAATTTTTAAAATAGTGTTAAAATTTCTTTAAATTTTATTTTAAAGAGAATAAAAAAAGAACAGTAGCAAAATAACAACAACATAGGCAAAAACCAAACAAAGCAAAAACAATAAAAATGATACAGGGTTTCAGAACAAAATGATAAGAATTAATAGTGGTTGTTATATTACATACTGTCATCTTCAATGAAGTTGCGCAGATTACCAGATGTAAGAATGCAAGATTGATCAAACCATTAAAGATAATAAAAAATTTTTAAAAAGCATTAGAAACGATACAGAGTTTCACCAAACAAGATGGTAGGAATTCAGCAATGGTTGTTACATTGCATATTGTTATCTTCAAATTAGTTGTTCAGATTACCAGATACAAGCATGTAAAATTGGCCAAAAATACGTAAGCACGAATTGTTCCTTTCAATCAACCACTAGACGTCAGCAGTACAGTTAACATACTGTAAAAACTTTTACAGAAGAGTATCAAGTTTTGACCGTCTGGGTCGTTCACCGACACAGCAATGCAGAGCAGGTGAGAGGTTTCCGACTCCCTGGGCCACCTTCACGCTAAGCTGCGTAGGCGCTCCTCCGTTCTCTTGCACTTGAAAACAAATGATGAACGTGCTGCTCCTATGCTATGAAGGGGGGCATTTCTCAGGAACAATTATCATTTTTGTACTAAACCCAGAGCTTGCCAAGAGGTTTATTTTTAAAAATTGTGAAAACATTACGCATTGCTGAAGCCTAACAGCTGCAGGGTGAGCTCATGGGTGCTTTGTCTAAAGACTCTGGCTTTCGCCCCCAAAGTGCATCAAAGCAAGGCTCGGCAGAGCGTGGTGACTCACCAGGCTGCGTCAGCCTTCCGGGTTCTGGGTGGAGCTGATAAGATGAATACATCTGGGAAGCAGGGTGAAGTTCCAAGGGGGACGATTCGATTATGCTTATGAAGAAGGTGTCTGTGGCCTAGAGGAGCAATAGGTAATAAATGGCAAGAGCGAAAGTCTAGACTTTACTTCAGAAGTAAAAGAAATGCATGCTCTTAGTTTATTTTTTAAAAAAACTGAAAAACACAGATTCGGCAGCAGCTGATGTGCCTGGTTTGCCTGTGTTCTTCTGGAGAAAAAGTTCTGATTAAAGGCAGGGCCCTAACAGTCTCGGGGCACAGCCAGAAGTCGGTGTCATTTCCGGTCCTGAGGTAGTTTTGTGAATTTTGGGGGCATTATTTAAGTCTCTAAATCTTACTTAAATCTCTAAACCTTAATAGTATTTCTCTTGAAGTTTTATTTTAAAAAATTTAAATGAATTACAAGCACGATGGCTGTTTTATACCTTTTACCTTGTTAACACATTGACACACACTAATTACTCTGTCTTCACACACACATATGCATGTGCACACACACACACACACACACACACACTTGTGCATGCATGTACATATATATTCTAACTTGGCTGATGAATTTGCAAATACCTTGCAGATATCATGATACTGCATCCTTGATAATTTATTGTCTCCTAACAGCAAAGACACACTATTTAATGATGGCAATATCATTTTCATACCCAAGAAGAGTAATATTTATTAAGTAATATTATAGTACTTAGAGACCATCTTCAGTATCCCCAAAGTTGCAGTTGTAATCATTTTCCTTCTCAATCTGGGATTCATAATGGGTCTTGGTAATTGTCATTTTTTAAAAATAAATATTATTTAATCTAGAACACCTAACTTTTTTTTTTTGTCTCTCAAGACATTACAGGCTTTAACCATCCAAGCCTAGTCAGGAGCATAGTCAGGCTTTATCTGATTATTTCCTCCTGGGCAGCGGTAGTGCTGCTATTTTTGATTGACTTGTTCAGTATTTGTGTTAGCCAGTTTTCATTACTATGACAAACACTAAAATAATTAAACTATAAAGAGAAAAGGTTTGTTTGGCTGGTGGTTTTCCTGGTTCTGATATGATAGGGCTGAGACCCACACAGAACCAGACCAGACCTTCCGACATGAGAGGAGTCAACATGGTGGGCTGCCCAGCAGACTAGGACAGCAGCTAGCTGAGCAAAGCGTGGGGTTTTTAAGCTTTTGGGGAGGGTGTCTTTGGGCCAGAACATTTTTCCAGAGGAGGAGTCCATGGGCCAGAACAGCCCAAGCAGGGCAGGTTGCTTGTGGGTCAGAACAGCCTGAGCAAGAGGTGTCCATGGGCTAGAACAGCCCGAGCAGGGGGTGTTGTTCATCAGAGTTGAATGTCTGGTTCTGCCAGGGTGGATGAGGGTGAGGTAGGCTTTTGTCGAGGGGAACTGGAGGGGAACAGGTGAAGAGGAAGGAGTTTTTATTAACTCCTTAGTAAAAGAGCGTAAATCTCCCAGGGGGTGGTTGTCTTGTGACTTATCAGCTAGATTCCATGATTCGGTTAGATCCATTTCTTTTAGGCCTCTTCTGCGAGTCCCAGAAGGCAGTGGCAGGGAGCACTGGCAACATTATAGCCGGGAAGCAAAACAAGGAGGACGAGGACTGGGGTCCCACAGTCACCTCTGAGGCCATCCCATAGAGATCTGAAGATCTCCCACTAGGCCCCACCCCTCAGAGTTTCTACCATCTCCCAGGTGTGCCACCCAAGGGACCACGCCTGTAGTACATAGGACCTGGGAGGT